CTTTTTTTATAAAATCTGTTTTGTTTTTCTTCCTCCGGCTGTGCTCTTCACCAGGTTTACTTTCTCAAGACATTTAAAACTCAGAATTATGTAGTTGTGATCACCCCGAGGCTTCCCACAGTGTTCGCTACCTGCACGTAATATGAATAAATGCTCTACACTTGCTGGTTCATCCCCTCTTCCATCTCTTTTTGTCTTCCTAACGCGCTAACATATGTTTACTAAGTGACCTCCATCATTATAGCTCTATGTTCTGTCCTCCAAATGAGATTCAGTTTCTAAGTCTTTAATTTTTTGGCTGAAGTATCTAGTGTTTAGCAGCTTTGCTTTGATAGTATGATGTCTTCATATCACTCAAATTGTTGTGTTAATCATTACTCTGTTATTTTACTATTGTCTTAATCTGTTGTTTTGTGGTGAGTGGCAGTTCACTGTTGCTGTTGTCTTGGGTCTCCCACTCACGAGTCTGCATATTATATGATCATTTGGTAGCTTGTGTTTACTCCTTCACGAAACTTCATTTGTTTCTGTTTAGCAGTGCTATTCCTTTCTACGAACCTCTGCTTATTTATTTTTTATTACATCAACAGTCGATATTCTGTAATGAATATTGTTTTCGTTATCATCTCAGTTTCATCTCCATAATACCTTGGACGTCTGAGGTTGCCTTTCTTAAGCGATCTTTTAATTCATCATTTTTGTTTGATATTCCATCTACTCTATTATGATCTCTTTCTAGTCCATGCAAATGATTTGGAGAAAAGGGGCGGGGCTAGGGTTAGGTTGTTTGGGCTGGAGTGAGTGGAATTATGGGAGAAATTTTATTCTTGTCGGAGTTTACATAGAGACGAAAGGGTCAGGGATATGATTTTCAGGGAAAGGTGAGGCTGGCATTGAGTTATTGAATTTGTACAGATGAGGGCTGGACCTTGAGACAGGACTGCTGAGAGTAAGGCAAGAGATGAATGGAAAGATTGAAAATCTGAGGGCTGGGTTCCTCGTCCATCACCATCTTATTCTTCCTTCCTGTATTTGACATATATCACTCTCATTTATTTGTATCCTTTTCTATTATACATTTATCAAGGCATACAGAACCAGGGTTATATCTTGTCATAACAAAACTCACTTTCTGTTCTAACTCCGTCTTTCATGATACTTGGATCCCAAGGATCAATTTTATTATAAAAAATTTCGTTCTGTTCACTCAGTGATGTTTTTGTTATCTTTTAGATTTTCCTCTTATCTTCGTTACCTTGTTTTACACATCAATGATCTTTATTTTTCCTTCCTTTGTGTTTCTCTTCAGAATATTTTGTGTATTATCACTTCCTTGCTTATCTTAGTGTGTGTGTGTGTGTGTGTGTGTGTGTGTGTGTGTGTGTGTGGTGTGTGTGTGTGTGTGTGTGTGTGTGTGTGTGTGTGTGTGTATGTATGTGTGTGTGTGTGTGTGTGTGTTGTGTAGGTGTGTTAGTGTGTGTGTGTGTGTGTTGTGTGTGGTGTGTGTGTGTGTGTGTGTATGTGTGTGTGTGTGTGTGTGTGTGTGTGTGTGTGTGTGTGTGTGTGTGTGTGTGTGTTGTTGTGTGTGTGTGTGTGTGTGTGTGTGTGTGTGTAGTATGTGATAATCAGTGTGTTGTGTGTTGGTGAGTGTGATGTGTGTTGTATGTATGTGTGTGAATGGTGTGTGTGTGGTGTGTGTGTGTGTGTGTGAGTTGTGTGCGTGTGTGTTGTGTGCGGTGTGTGTGTGTACTCCCTATTTGTACTCACCTATTTGTGGTTGCAGGGGGCGAGTCCTGCTCCTGGCACCCGCCCTTTCACCGGTGCACTAGGCCCTCTCTCTCCCGCTCCATGAGCTTATCAAACCATCGTCTTAAAACTGTTATGGTTCCTGCCTCCACCTGCGTCATTTTCTGGCTATCCACTGACCTTACAACTCATGACCTGAAGAAAATTCTACTATCTCTCTGACTCATTTGTTTAACTTCATTGTGGCCTCTTGTTTCTGAGTCCTCACATGGAACATCTTGTCTTGTCCACCTTGTCTATTCCACGCAATATTTAATATGTCGTTACATGTCTCCCTGCCTCTGTCCTCCAGAGTCAGCGATTTCCCTTAATCTTTCTCATAGGACATTCCACTTAGCTCTGGAACTAACCTTGTCGCAAACCTTGTACTTTCTCTGTTTCCTGACGTGCTTTATCAAGTGCGGGTTCCAAACGGTGCTGCATACTCCAGTATGGGCCTGACATACACGGTGTACAGTGTCTTGAATGATTCCTTACTAAGGTTTTCGGAATGCTGTTCTCAGGTTTGCCAGGCGCCCATATGCTGCAGCAGTTATCTGATTGATGTGTGCTTCCGGAGACATGCTCGGTGTTATACTCACCCCAAGATCTTTCTCCTTGAGTGAGGTTTGCAGTCTTTGGCCACCTAGCCTATACTCTGTCTGTGGTCTTCTGTGCCCCTCCCCCATCTTCATGACTTTGCATTTGGCAGGATTAAATTCGAGAAGCCATTTGCTGGACCAGGTGTCCAGTCTGTCCAGGTCTCTTTGAAGTCCTGCCTGGTCCTGCCTGGTCCTGCCTTTGTGTGTGTGTGTGTGTGTGCGTGTGTGCGTGCGTGGGTGTTAACTACTTGCATAAACATACAAGCTATTTAGTGTTGGTGCAGAAGAGACATCCTATACGAAGAGAGAAAGAGTTATGGGTCGTCTCACCTGAGTGAGAGAAGATGTAAGAGTACACCTGGTCGTGGAGGTCACCTCTCAGCTCAGCTAGGTCGGCACCTTCCGCCTGGCACAACGCCCTCATCGAGGCCCACGTTCCCTTCACATACATGTAAAACTTTACGCACACCTGCGTCACTGCGTCCACGCTGAAGCTTAAATATTCGGCTGGGCATGACGCTGGAAAGGAAGCAACAACGAGCTGAGTTTAACGTAACATTGCGGGTGCTTGAAGAAGGTTAGAACAATGAGAAATCTTTGTTGTAATGTAAATATCACAAATAATATTCGATTACATTTCTTTTATAATACATGTCCAATATACATACTCAAACACTAGTCACACTGTTGTATGAAGAATTAGATATATGGGCAACAACTGGGTATTATCACTGTGTAAACGCTACGCCAACAAGTGGGTTTATCAGTACAAAACAGAAACAAACACAAAAGACTGCAGAGGTAGAAGAAGAAGCGGTAATTAGACCCTCGGTCTAGTAGCTGGTGTTCAGTAGTCTATGAAGGTAATTCTGAGTCAGCATGACAGATGAAGATGTGAAGCTGGTAATTACTGTAAAAGTTCAGGCAGTGGTTGCAGACATTCATGTAAGCCGGCTCCATGATTATCAAAGAAAAAACTGAAAACCACTAGGTGGGTGAGGTCAATGACCTTATTCAGCTCGTATTTCTGTTTTCGTCCTGTTAATGTACTCGATATGATATCATCTGGTTGGCACAACCAGTATTTATGTATATTGATTTACCCTTTGTTGCACGTGTCTAATTTTTCATCTTATCTGTAATGTATACCTTTGATGTTTTGACACTGTTTTATGCAGTTTGCCTTAGTAAGATTATCACAGCTTTTGCAATCTGGTTCTAATGAACACTATAATGTACTGTGCTGAATAGTAAATTATATTGTTGGGTGATACTGGTTAGTTTAGTAGCTTGGCTCTTTTTAATAGCTCTTGATTGTTGCTGCTTCGTTTCTGGACAATACCAGTTAAATTTTCTTCATAAAGAGTTGAAATTTATTATCACTGGTGCTGGTAAAGAGCTTTTGACCCAGAGCGCTGAATAAATTTGTGCTGTTAAGGGCAATAAGGCCTCAACTCACAAAGACGCATGTCAAGAATACCTTAATTCTCATGATGGCGGCTACAGTAAACTCTCAATAGACATACATAAAAACACGCACCTCACAATGTGGACAATATACGCTATGTGAAACTCTCCTAGGTGCGTATATACTATTGCCGTGGAGGTACATCATGGGATAAATACATCACGTAGCTTATATACAATAGTGTGCATATTAATTGGGACAATGATGAAATAAGACATTTACTTGGAAAATTAATGAAAAATACACGGCAGTGATATGGCAGATCAATGATTTAATAAGAAATTTGACTACTCTTTGCTTTTGTATGCACTGTTGCAGGCTTGGCATAGAACGGAACAATGTTCAACACATTTTGGGAAGTTTTTCATCGTTTTACCATGTCCTAATAACAACAGGAATTAGCTGAACAGTCCTGCTTCACGATCCTGTGTCTGGCATGTTTTCCATAGATTCTCAACTGGGTTGAGGTCAGGAGAGCGTTCAGGTCAGTTTAGAACGCTTAGCCCACTCCCTTAGAAGAATGTCAACATTTTTCTGAAAGTGCGGCATAGAGTAAGATTCTGCTGGATTTTGCTCTATGCCTCATGGGAAGCAAATGAGTCGCCAAGTTTGCCTTGTATTTGTCACTGTTCATCGTTCCCTCAGCAATAATAAGCCGTTCAGGGCCTTTAGCAGTAAAACTATCCTAAACATCTTAGGTGGGTGTATTGGTGCTTGATGACTGTGTCCATTATCAAGAGGTTCGGCTTTGCTCTGTGTCACTACCACTGATCTGTAGCCATGTGCTTCAAAATGCGCCTCGTCCAAAAAAATAACTTTTCTCTATTCATCTGTCGTCCATCCTTCATGATCAAGTACCCACCACAGCCGTTTTTGCCTCATAACAACCACCCAGGGAGGTACTACTGTCCAGTCAAATGAGTGCATAACGGAAACTTGTAATTGTTTTACACCATTGCTGGTGTCTTTTTTTGTTTTATAAATACACAAGATAACAAGTATATCTTAGGTCACAATACACATGCATGTATACGTTTTATATACACACTCATCTGAGTTTTCTTATATTTTTTTCGTAATAGCTCTTGTTCTTATTAATTCCTTTCATCTCCATGGATGAGTGGAATAAGAATCTTTCCTCTTTAAGCCATGTGTGTTGTAATAGCCGATTAAAATGCAGGGAGCAATGGGCTACTAACCCCTTCTCCAGTATAGATTAATAAAAATAAAGAGAAGAAAACCTTTAAGTGTGGATGTTTGAATGTGAGTGGATGTAGTGCAGATAAGAAAGGGATGATTAAGGATGTTATTTATGAAAATAAGCTGGATGTCCTGGCTCTAAATAAAACAAAGCTGCAGAGGGTAGGAGAGTTTCAGTGGGGAGAAATAAATGGAATTAAATCAGGGGTTTCCAAAAGACTTAGTGCTACGGAAAGAGTAGCAATGATGCTGAGATATCAGTTATAACAGGAAAAGAAAGAATTTAATATACAAATTTAAGGATTATGTGGAGTAAAATAAGGGTCGCATGCGAAAAGTGGGTTATAGCAAGAGTTTATGCACCTCGAGAAGAGAGAAATGTAAAGGAGAGAGAGAGAGAGAGAGGGAGGTTTTGGGAGAATTTGAGTGCTTGGGGAATTTTGAACTAAATGAGTCATTGTGGTGGTGGACCTAAACGCTAAAGTGGGAAAAACTGTTGTGGAGGGAGTAGTAGGTAAGTTTGTGGTGCCAGGGGTAAATGATAATGGGGTCTTTAACTGAACTTTGTAAAGAAAGAGGGTTGTCAATAATTATTACATATTTTAAGAAAAAGAGGATAAATAAGTATACAAGATATGACATAGGGCGTAATGAATATAGTTTGTTGGATTATATATTGGTGTGTAAAATATTGATGGGTAGACTTCAGGATTTGCATGTTTATAGAGGGGCAACAGATATGTCTGATCGTTATTCAGATGTAGAGTAAGAGGTAGATAGGGAAAAAGGAAAATGGCATCAGCGAATAAGAAAGAGATGAAAGTTTATAAATTATGGGAGGCGGAAGTTAGGGTGAGATATAAGCAACTACTGGGAGAAAGGTGGGCTAGTGAAAGTATTATAGATAGTGCAGATGTTGAAGAAGAGGGGTGAGATAGTTTTAAAAATGAAGTGTTAGAATGTGGGGCGGAAGTTTGTGGATATAAGATGGTGAGTGCAGAAAGAAAGAGAAGTGATTGGTGGAATGATTAGGTAAAGGAGGTAAGAAGGGAGAAACAGTTCGCATATAAGAGGATTTTACTAAGCACAAGTGATATAAGAAGGGTGGGCAGGTGAAGAGAGTGGTGAAGGAGTGAAAAAGGAGAGCAAATGACAGAGTGGGTGAGGCTCTATCGATAAATTTTGTTGAGAATAAGAAAAAGTTTTGCAATGAGATAAATAGGTTGAGAAAGCCTAGGGATCTGACAGATAATAACAGAATAGATAATAATAGATGGGGAGTTCGAGGTATTGGGAAGATGGTGGGAATATTTTGAGACACTGTTAAATGTTGATGAAGAGAGGGAGGCAGTGATTTCATGCACTTGCCAGGGAGGTATAACATCTTTTACAAGTTAAGAAGAGCCGGATGTGAGTGTGGGGAAGGTGCGTGAAGCATTAGATAGAATGAAAGAGGATAAAACAACCGGAACTGATGGGATCATGAAAGAAATGTTAAAAGCAGTTTTGGAGAGCTGGTACTTTTGTTCAATAAATGTATGAGAGACGATAAGGTACCTAGGGAGAGCGTGCATAGTTACTTTATATAAAGAGACGGGGGACAAAGGAGAGTGTAAAAATTATAGGGGAATAAACCAACTGAGTACGCCAGGTAAAATGTATGGTAGGGTTATTATTGGAAGAATTAGAGGTAAGACGGAGAGCAGGATTGCAAACAAAGAGGCTTTCGAATGCATAGGAGATGTGTAGATTACGTGTTTACACTGAAACATGAAATTTCAGTTGTTTATATGGATTTAGAAATGGCATATGATAGGGTGGATAAGGGAGCAGTGTGCAAGATATTGCAAGTTTTTGGAATAAGTAATAAGTTACTAAATCCTGTAAAGAGTTTCATGAGGATCGTGAGGCTCAGGTTAGGGCGTGTATGAGAGAGGGAGATTACTTCCCAGTAAAAGTAGGTCTTGGGAATGCGTGATGTCATCATTGTTGTTTAACATATTTATAGATGGGGTTGCAAAAGAAGTAAATGCTAGAGTGAGGGGTGGGATTAAGTTATGCAGAATCGAATTAAAAAAATGGGAGATCACTTAGTTACATTTTGCTGATGATACTGTGCTTTTGGGAGATTCTGATGAGAAGCTGCAAAAGTTACTGCTGAGTTTGGGAGAGTGTTTAAAGGAAGGAAGTTGAAAGTGAACATAATTATGAGTAAGTTGATGAAGGTAACAAACGTATTAGATGGGTTTATGACGACGAGGTAAAGCGTAGAATTGATGAAGGGGAAACAGGTGGGTGGTGCATGTAGGTAGCTGTGGAAATAAAGAACGTTACCTATAGTGGCAAAGAAATAATGTATGGAATTATAGTGGTACCAACACTTTTATATGGGTGTAAAAAATGGGTTATAAATGTTGAAGTAAAAAGAAGCGAGGAAGTAGTGATATCGTGTGTGAGGGCGATGTGTGGTGTAAATATTATGCAGCAAATTCGTAATTTGGAAATTAGGATTTGATGTAGAGTTACTAAAATTATCATTCAGAGCGCTGAAGAGGGGTTATTGAGGTAGTTTGGTCATTTAGAGAGGATGGAGCAAAATAGGGTAACTTGGAGGGTGTAAAAGTGTGTAGTGGAGGAAAGGCGGGTTAAGGGTCATCCTAGGATAAGATAATAATAATAATAATAATAATAATAATAATAATAATAATAATAATAATAATAATATCTTTATTCACTACAAGTACATGTACAAGGTATATAGGCCTAGCTGACATCAATGACATGGTACTATATAGAAAGCCGTTTGTTATGCTGAGCATTTGGGGCAAATTAGATCAGTTTTGTCCCAGGA